AGATATACTCAGTTCATGATCATGTTATTATTTACGATGTAATACATTAGCATGAGCTTCTGCGGAGCACAGTGCCATAGTGCTCACGCCCCACATTTTCATGATTTTCAGGTCGCAGGGTCGGAGATGAGGAGTGAGCGGGCGAGCTGTTCAGGATATTTGTGTTTTGATGTACTTGATGTTGAATGATTAAACTTTTCAGAGCTTTTATCAGACTTTCATGTTATGGCCACGCTAAGACTTCCGCTAAAACCTTCAGACTTTGTTCCGACATTAGTCGGATAATAAATTATAACCGTTTCACGTTTCAGTTTTAAATTCTAACGGTTTTCAGAAGTCATGTTTTTCACGGTAACCCTCGAATCAGTTTCGCAAATTAAAAAGTTAGTTTATTTATTTATTTATTTATTCAAAATATTTGCGAAAAACCGCGTACTCTGATGTATCAGTCAGATGGGGTGTTACAAAAATCGAACAAAAAGCAAAAAGAATGGGATAGGAAAAGTTTAACGAAACACACAATCGATCACTCTCAATGAAAGCACCAATGATGAAGGATCGTGTGTTGTGTTCCACTCGACTTGTCTCGAACACAGCTTCGCCACGGCCTTGCTCTCGACGATAGGTGTGATCGACTCGGTTATTAGCCTAACTCTCTCACGATACTTGAGTTCACTCGGGTCTTAGCCTCGCTCACTCGGTTTCGAACTGGCTCGGGTCTTAGCCTCACAAATTCGATTTGTATGATCGAACTCTCACGAATCCTAACACACGGTTTCGAACAAACATTCCTTTTTATTTCATCAATTCTAAGTCTTTTTTTAAACAATGAGGGATCATCCCTATTTATAGGTGCATAAAATAAGTCTAAGCCTAATCAAACTAGATCTCCTAAATCATTAATTAAAGCAATAAAATAAATCCTAATGCTAGTAAATCTCCTAATATCTTCTACTACTAATAAATAAAAGCAACATGGAAATAAAATCCTACTATTACTAAAATACTAATTGCTTGACTTGCACACCAAGCAAATCTAGAAGCTTATGTCTTCCACACGCCTCAACCCTTCCGCCGCCTCAACGCATGCGCCGCCCTCACGTCTTGCCCTAGTCCTCGAGGACTAGGGATGCACTGCCTTCGCCCATGTATGTCCTCTCTCCTCGAGGCTTAAGGCCTCGCGCCCCACATGCGCCATTCCTATTCCTTGTAGGAATATGCTCCCGGTTACGTTTCTTGATCTTCCGAGGATTACTCCCGTCACAGATCTTTCACGCACGACACTCAACTGCTTTTCCTAGTCCTGCAGGGTCTAGGATTCGTGCCTTGCCTATTCCTATGAGGATTAGGCTTGCTTCCCTGGAATCTCCCCCGCACTCACTCAGCGCCCCTCGCTCATGCGCACCCAATGCCCGCACATCGCCCATCGCTCGATGCGCGTCCGTCCATCCGCAGCAACCTCCCTCGCGCGCCATCCACCCAACAACCTCCCCCTGCACGCCACTTCGCCTAACCTCCAAGCGCCATGCGTGTCTACGCCAATGCGCGTGTGCGCGCCCTTCTTGAATTCGCCATTTCTTGCGCCTGAACTTCGTATGCCTATGGACCATCTTCTCGCGTGCCTTCGCGCACCTCCATGCGTGACCTCTCATACGAGCTCGTACCCATCTTTTAAGCCATGCATGCGCCGTTTTGGCCTTATTTTGATCTTCTTCGGGTCGTCTTGGCTCTTGGACCTTCTCGTCGTAGGGGCTCGAAACCCACTTCCGTATCAACGCGCGCGGGCGCAGGGCAGCAGCCTGTGCGCGAGTGCAGTGCAGCACCGCGCACGGGCAGCACGCGTCCGCGGGGGCAGATTTGCTGGGGGAAGCGCGCGGGGATGACTTGCCGGGCAAGAAAAAAAGTTTCCTAGGAGTCTTTTGAGCTGATTATTGTTCCCTACTTGGAGTGCAAGTCAAGACACAAGATCCCTAGTTATTTAGTTTCCTTAATGCTTTATGATATCTAGATTAATTAAGATACTTAATATTTTATTGCTTTATTAGTTCCCTAGGTAGATTAGGCTTAGACATATTTTGTGCCTATATAAAGGCCCTTCCCCTATGTTATTTTTCATCATTCAAGAATTAATAGAAATCCAGAACTTTGTTCTTCCACTTTGCTTTGGTCTTTCACCAAAATACTATTGCAATTTTATTTGTTTCAATAGGCGTTGTCGTGGCTAGAGAAAAACTATCGGCGATTCAAGGCGCGGGTTAGCGGCTTATCGGCAATCGAAACACACGATCTTCATCATTGGTTCTTTCATTGATATAT